CAAAGATTATGTTGACCCTCTGCATATTTAAGTTCATGATCAACATGCCTACTGTAATGTGGTCGAGAAATAACTTGATGGTGAGCCGTGGTTCCATGATATCAGGGAGTACATTAGGATGAGGGTATATCTGATATAAGCCACAGGTGATAAAAAGAGAACAATTCGACGTTTGACTAGTGGATTTTTCCTGAGTGGGGGAATTTTGTACAAAAGAACTCCAGATCTTGGGCTGTTGAGGTGCATCGATGCTAAGCAGGCCACGACTATCATGACAGAGGTACATTCCGGAGTTTGTGGGCCGCATATAAGCGGGTATGTTCTGGCAAAGAAGATTCTTCGAGCGGGGTATTATTGGCTCACGATGGAACGAGATTGCATCAGCTTTGTGTGCAAGTGTCATCAATGCCGGGTACACGGAGACTTGATTCATTCTCCGCCATCTGAGTTGCATACAATGTCCGCACCGTGGCCCTTTGTCGCTTAGGGCATGGATATCATCGGACCAATTGAGCCCGTGGCATCAAACATGCACATGTTCATTCTAGTGGCCATCGATATTTCACTAAGTGGGTTGAAGCTAAGACTTTCAAATCTGTGACCAAGAAGGCAGTGGTTGATTTTGTTCATTCAAATATAATTTGTCAGTTCAGAATCCCAAAGGTGATCATCACAGATAATGGTGCTAATCTTAACAGTCATCTGATGAAAGAAGTATGTCAATAGTTTAAGATTACGCATCGAAATTCACCCCATATCGCCCCAAGGCGAATGGAGCAGTCGAGGCAGCCAACAAGAATATAAACAAGATACTTCGGAAAATGGTGCAAGGTTTTAGGCAATGGCATGAGAAGTTGCCTTTTGCTTTGTTAGGTTATCGCACTACTGTTCGTACTTCAGTCGGTGCAACTCCTTATTTGTTGGTATATGGTACTAAAGTAGTGATACCCGTGGAAGCTGAAATCCCATCTCTTCGGATTGTTACTGAAGCTGAAATTGAGGATGATGAGTGGGTCAAAACCCGTTTGGAGCAATTAAGTCTGATTGATGAGAAAAGACTGGCAGCAGTGTGTCATGGCCAGTTGTATCAAAAGAGAATGGCAAGAGCATACAACAAGAAGGTGTGTCCCCGGAAATTTGAAGTGGGTCAACAAGTATTGAAATGCATCCTTCCACATTAGGCTGAAACAAAAGGCAAGTTCGCCCCAAATTGGCAGGGGCAGTTCATCGTAATGAGAGTGTTGTCCAATGGTGTTTTGTATTTAATAAATATCGAAGGCAAATGTGTAGATATGACTATCAATTCCGATGCAGTCAAAAGATATTATGTATGATTTCTTTGGTTTAAATTGTGTTGTTTGTACTTGGCATGTTTTGAAGGTTCGAATGACGAAGACATTTTATTCTGCTATCTAAACACTTTATCCTTTGTTACCCCTCTTGAGCCTTATTTATTTTCTTTCATACCCTCCTTTGGAATCAGAAGCAAAGTTAGTAATACGGATACAGAAAATATAAAAAGAGAAGTGAAAAGAAAAAAAAAGAAAAAAAGATGAAAAAAAGAGAGAATAGAAAAGAAAAAAAAGAGAGAAAGAAAGAGAAAAGAAACAACAACAAAGCAATTCTTATACATGAACTATGTTCGACCTGATTTCTTTTAAGGATACGTAGGCAGCCTCATGGTTCGGTCCCATAAAAATAAAATTCAAAGCCCTCAAGCAAGGAAACTAGGGCAAAATTTGTGGTTTTGTAAGAGATCTGATTCCAAAAGGTGTAATTTTGAACCTATTCAAGTTATTTTGAGCCTTTATGATATCTTTTCATTCTAAACCCTATCCAAAAGCCCACATTACGGTCCAAGAAAAGACCTTCCGATTAATCTTCGGGGGACGCCAAGTTGAGCAAGTAGAGGTATGATTCATATCAAGGGCAACACTCCGTTCTAAGCAAGAAAAATGAAAATGAGAGAATCTTATTGGTGATAACCCCTCACGTGCACCATAAGGTAACAAAAAGCTGAGAGAAATTAAAAAATGAGAGAGTCTTATTGGTGAAAACCCTCACGGGCACCGTAAGGCAACGATGAGTTGAGAGATGAATAAATGAGAGAGGTTGTTGGTGAAAACCCTTCAAGGCACCGCGAGCCTAATAAAGTTGTTGACTTTGCAAAAGAATCGGATTATGGGAACCCCAGGCACAGAGTGTGAAGACTGCAAGAAGATTGATTGAATGGACTAGGCTGATTAATCCGAAATGCATGTACTGATCATTGATGCCAGCAACCTCGCTCAGATAAGTCCCTTGTCCTTTTCTTCCTCAAACAGTCTTTCTGTTTTAATTTTTCTTCTCTATTCATAACTCTTGAAGTCATTGTATTTCATTTCCTTTTAGGTCCACTCCTCTAAGGCTTTTTCAATGTTAGCCCTGCTAAGCGAAAAGAAAGGATTGCAAAGCTTATTACCAACTTCCAAAATTGCACAAAAGTAAAGTGCGGACACAACATGCCAGAAATAGCATGATGCAAAATGGAAAATAAGGTGTTAGCCGAGTTTCAAGTGATCAAGTGATTTCGTGAATTGTGGGGACAAATACAGAGGTTCAGATGGGAAAGAAAAATATGTAAAAGTAGCAGGTTGACTATAGGGCACTCGGGTCATTCAGGGTTTCGTGGTTAAGGTTCAATCAGAAGGTGAAATAATTCTTAGCCAATCGGATGCAATCGAGTAGAACAAAGCATGGCAGTAGAAAAGCCACCCTTAGCAAGAATGCCACAAATTAACCACCACATTTTCAAACCGACGGGATTTTTCTTTGATTGAAATAGGGGCAGGGAATTTCGTTTGTTTCGGAGAAACCCTCCGTGAAGAAAGCAGGTGCCAGACAGGCTTGGCAGTAAGTCTCCGGTACCCTCATGTATAACAGGATTTGGTAAGTTTTGAGACCCTCATAAATGACAAGGTCTGACGAGAGTTCTACTTTTGGGTAGTATAATTTAACATTCAAGTTTTTACTTTTGAGATGAGACTTGGATTGAAATTTTCAGGATAAGGGAATTTATCTTAGAGCTTATTTTGATAACAAGAATCAGTTAACACTCACAGATGTTCCCATTATCAAATTGCGGCAGAAAAATTTCTTTTGATTTGTTTGTTTTGTTGTAATCAGGCGCCCACCTGGAGAACAAGGGAAAACATGTTTCAAGTAACAAGAAAAGATGGTTCAAGTTTCAGCAGTCAGGCGCTCACCTGGAAAACAAGGGAAAACGGTTAAAAGTTTAGGGGAAAGTAGTTTCAGGGAAAGCAATTCAAGCTCAGCAATCAGGCACCCACCTGGAGAACAAGGGAAAACAGTTTAAAGTAATAAAGAGAAAACGGTTCAAGTTTCGGCAGTCAGGCGCCCACCTGGAGAATAAGGGAAAACAGTTCAAGGTTCAAAGGGAGACAGTCTAAATTCTGCAATCAGGCGCCCACCTGGAGAACAAGGGAAAATAGTCCAAGTTTTGAGGGAAAAGTAGTGCAAGTGTTGGCAATCAGGCACCCACATGGAGAACAAGGGAAAACAGTCCAAGTTTTGAGGAAAAAACAGTGCAAGTGTTGGAAATCGGGTGCCCACCTGGAGAGCAAGGGAAAACAGTTCAAGTTTCGAGGGAAAAGTAGTTCAAGTTCAGCAATCAGGTGCCCACCTGGAGAACAAGGAAAAATAGTTCAAGTTTCGAGGGAAAAGTAGTGCAAGTATTGGCAATCAGGTGCCCACCTGGAGAACAAGGTAAAGCAGTTCAAATTTCAAGGAAAAACAAGTCAAGTTCAGCAATCAGGCGCCCACCTAGAGAACAAGGGAAAACCATTCAAGTTTCGAGGGAAAAGTAGTTCAAGTTTAGCAATCAGGCGCCCACCTGGAGAACAAGGGAAAACAATTCAAGTTTGGAGAAAAAAGCAGTGCAAGTATTGGCAATCAGGCGCCCACCTGGTGAACAAGGGAAAACAGTTCAACGTTCAAGGAAAAACAGTTCAAGTTCAACAATCAGGCGCCCACCTGGAAAACAAGGGAAAGCAATTCAAATTTCAAGGGGAGCAGTTCGAGTTTCAGCAATCAGGCGCCCACCTGGAGAACAAGGGAAGGCAGTCCAAGTTTCGAAGGAAGAAAATTCGAGTGTTGGCAATCAAACGCCACTTGGAAAATAAGGAAACTCACTTCAGAATGCAATTCAAATCAGCAGCAAAGGAAGCTCACCTGGAGAGTACGAGTCAACGGAACCACAACTGCAAGATCAAGTTTGAAGATGTGTATAGGATTCTTGTAATTTATAGATCATAGTTTAGTCTAGATTTTTTTGTCTTGGTGTAATAAGGAGTTCAGCATGAAGTAGCTGTGAGCACGTGATTTTTGCCCTACATGAATTACTTCCACAAATTTAAAAACAAAATAATTTTTCCATTGTTTGCAATTTTGTGGGTTTTTGTCGCATTTTTTGTGCATGTTAGTTTGTTTCAATTAATGAAAAATACAAAAAAACAATATATGTTTCATTTGCATTTAGGATTTAGTTTTACATTTTTGGATTAAGTAGTAAATTAGTTGTTTTATAAGAAATGAAAAATCACAAAAATAGTTTATTTTTGCACTTTTAATTTTAGTTTGGAATTTTTGGTAGTTTTCTTTAATTTGAGTTTTAATTAATTGTGGTAATTATTAGTTAATTAATGCAATGTGGTAGGGTTAATTTGATTTAGGAATTAGTTTAGGTTTTATCTTAGTTTTAGTTTGAAAAGAAATTGAAAAAAAGAGAGTGGGAAAATAAAAGGAATTAATTTAAAAAAGAAAAGAAAAGGGAAAGAAGTATAGAAATCAGGATTTGGGCTAAATCAATTTGAAAATCACAAGACCAATTCAATTCCACCCAACCTTTGTTTTAAACCCAAAACCTGATCAAAACCAGCCCCTAACCCGCTTTCCAAACCCGCCCGGATGCCCCTAAACCCGATCCATCTCCACAAAAATACATGGACAGTCATACAGAGACCCAAAACCTAAATCCCTAACTAAAACACGCACTGTTCCTCTTCTCCAAATCGAATCCAGCCCTATTTCAGCCTAAATCCATGGCGAGTGACTCCACACTCATAACCACACGTTCCTCCTTCTCTCCTCATCACCATTTCTAACAGTTTCTGACACCGAAGATTCTCCTTCCTTTCGCTTGATCGATTTTGAGATAAGGCACGCGATTGGAAGGTCCTAAAGACGATTCGTTGGATGAGTGTGAGACGTTGGATTGTTTTCGTTCAATCCGAGCCCCACATTCATCAGGGGTTCGTTTTTATAAGGGATCAGATCCAATTTTGAAGAGGGAGGATATTTTCAGAGGGACTTGGGAAAATTTCAACAGAGAGGATCTTGGGAAGAGATTTGAGAGATTTCTTTTCTCCATTTTATTTGTTCCTTCAATTCTGATACTAAAAAAGCAGAAAAAGAATCATTGAGTTTTTTTTTGCTGTTTCATTTTCATGGCGACCATTGTTTAAATCTTCTTTTTTTTTTTCAAATCTCTAGAACTCATCTTCTTCATTTTGATTCTAGATTTTAGTTTAAAAAATGGAAATCATTTGAAAAGTTTGAGGCTGTTGCTGCTCAAGGACTAATTTAGCTGCTATTTGCTTCCTCTTGGTCGATTTCAATGTTGTACTAATTCAGTTTCTCAACTCCAGGTTCATTTCTCTTCTTCATTTTAGTTCCCATTGTAAATCGATCTCTGAATGAGCTATAAATGGGTTGAAGTTTGAAATAATGACTGAGATTTGTGTAGTTATCGTAGGTTCATCTTGCTGCTCTGTTTTATTTTTTTTATTTGTATCAGCTTCTTCTATGATTTCATATGTGTACTAAGGAATGTTTGTATGATCCTCTAGTCTCAGAATCCATCGAAACATGTGATTTGTGTGCTCGTCTGCCTCTTCTGTCATTGTCCAGCCATAGTCGATTTCTTTTTTGTGTGTAAATGTTTAGGGGTTGGTTCTCAAATGGCTTGAAGATTAACTCTGCTCATTTTCTTTGTAGTGGACAGTCAAAATTGGTTTGATTGGTGGTCGACTGAGTTTGAGTGGCTCGTGTGTTTGTTTTCATGCTTGTTTGTGTACTGGTCGCAAATCAGTCGAGTTTGTTAGTTTAGTTCATACACTCGTGCTGAAAATGCCCAGACTATCTTGGCACATGTTTTCCAATTCGTTTTCACCTTTGAATGAGATCATATCATCTTAGCTCTCAAGCATTTTTAGTTAGTTGGAGAAAACTCGGTAATGCCCTGTTTCTCAGCAGATTCTGTGAAAATTTTAAAGGCTGGATATTCGGATGTCTTTCATGCTTGGTTCCTTTACTATGCAAACTTCTGAGATTTGAAATTCATCTGAACCAAGTATGGTAATCGATTTGCTAGAATCCGGGTTGCTTGTTTGATGAAATTAAACTAATTCCCGTTACTGTTTCCCTCTGTTAAGAAAACATCAATATGACCCCTCTTTGGTCATGCTTTGAGTGAACTTTCAGCATCCATGTTGGAGGTTCAAATGAATGATGTTTGAGATCTTATCAAATGTTTGGTTTCTGCTTCATAATTGATACCCAAAGCAGCCTTAGCTTGTTTAACGATACTCAAACCAGTATCAAATGCTAATTGGGTTTTGGCTGTTATTCCAGCTGCAAGTGATGATTGAAGTTGAGCTGTTTCTTTGAATGCGCATATGTTGGATCATTTTGATTTTTTTTCTCTGGTTGAAACCTCCTCAGATTCTAAGAGCCAGATGGATGATTCATTCTCTCGTAATTGAAAGAGTTCTTGCATGATTGCTATATTTGAATGCAGATTTGAAATGGTTTTAATTGTCCTTGCAAATGGATCAAGTCTGCTTTGTTTTCTTGTAAATATTTAGCTGCAGTTTGGTTTTTTTAGCATCAGTTGGATGAAATGCTCGGAAGCTTCTTTACTGATTTTCCTTTGCCTTAATATAGACACTAGTTGAATCATCTTGCTTTCTGTAAATCTTAGTGTTGGTTAAGCTTTAAGCTAAAGGTTCTCATGTTGCCTCATCTATTTGAGCTTCACGTCTAGATGTTGACAGTTAAATCATTCTTAAGAAACTAAATATTTTGTAGTCTTCCACTCTCAGTTTCTCTTTGTCCCTTTGGCATAGTATTTTGGCAGGAGTGTTTATCTTATTCAGTTTGATTTATTAGGCAATGAAGCAGCGTTCTGCTAATGAACAGCTCACCAAACCTTCTTTGGCAATTAATTTCTCAAGTTTGCTTGTTGTTGCTGATGCGTGCTGGGGCAATTTTTTTTTACTTAATAATCTGGGCTTGTGTATTGGACTGTCTGCTTAAAGTCAGAATGCAATTTAGCGAGTGATATATAGATGTAATGTCGGTCTCTCTATTTTTGTAAATAGCCGTTGGCCCTCATGAATTAATTTAGAAACTTGGTTAAAACAAACCAAGGTGCGCCGTGCCAAACAAAAATGATAATTGCATGGCCCTCATTTAATTAATCTTATTTTGATCCTTAGCATTCGAGGCGTGCAGTTTAGTGAAAATTCCATAGCCCTCGCAATGTTGAAAATGCGTAGTCACTTTAGGCACGTTATTTTAATAATTGACTTCCTTAAACTCGGGTGTGCATTTCATGTGAACCAAATCCAAATCCTGATAACATTGAATAAAATGTGTTTCGGATTGCGGGTGCATTTCATATGGCGTGATCCAAAGACATATTTTACACGACGTTAAATCTTCTTTAAATAAATAAAAGCGGTTTTAAAGTTAAAAATGCACATAGGTTTGAAAGAGTTTTAAAATCGGATAATAGGCCAATAATAACAGTTGAGCGACCGTGCTAAAACCACGAAATCCGGGAATGCCTAACACCTTCTCCCGGGTTAACAGAATTCCTTACCTAGATTTCTGTATTCGCGGACCATAATTAGAGTCAATCTTTTCTCGATTCGGAATTTGAACCGGTGACTTGGGACACCCTAAATTATCCCAAGTGACGACTCTGAATCTTTAAAATAATCCCATTTCGATTGTCACCTTAAATTGGAAAAAACTCCCTTTATACCCCTTTAAGGGGGTGTAGGTAAAAAGGAGGTGTGACAGCTCTGGCGACTCTGCTGGGGATCGAACCCAGAATCTCTGGTTTTACAGGGTTCGAGAACTCGAGCTTAGGATAATTGTTATATTTGGATTTATTTATTATCTAATTTGTTTACATGTTTTGAGCCTAATGTGCTAAATGATGTTTTTACCGATTTGATATTGGTGAACTATATANAAGACCCCATGCCGGATCCCTAGTAGGAACGTTTGCTTTCATCACGTGCATTTGACTTTGGAGACTCAACACAGAGGTTGGGTCTGTCTAAGACAGGTGTACCAAAAATGAAAAGACCATCCTGATGCATCTTACTTGCTACTTGTGCATTTATTTGATTTGGATTTGCGTGCTGACCGACTTTTGAATAATGGGAGAAAGTTGGAAAAAGAGAATAGCGGTGTGAGGATTAAGTGAGTTAAATCACCCTTTTGGAAAAACCAATGTCAAAATGGTACTGAAACTTTGCTGAATTTTTGAGAAAAAATGAAAAAAAAGAAGAAAAGGTTTTGTTTTGAAAAATAGTTGGTTTTATTTTATTTGCCCGAACTACGCCAGTTTGATTCTCACAAGGTGTGAGATACGTAGGCAACCCCCATTGGGTCTAACTTCATTTTTGCAAAAATAGCCCAAAAAGAACAAAATTTTTAATTTTATTGCAAATACGTAAGGTGATGTCATTCTTGTCTAAAACAGCCGAATGTCCCCAAAAGGGCCCCGAAAGGCCGTTTTTGCAAGAATAGCCATCTTTGGTCATTTTCAAGGTTTTTGCCGGTTAGCAAACACAGCCTTAAAATCTTCGTTTTCGGAGTGCTGAAAGGCCGTATTGGTAAAGTCGGATATTTAAAATGAACCTTTCTCAGTCCTTGAAGAGATCCCGTTCGAGCTACATATATGGTGGCATGATTTGGGGGATAATAGCAGAAAAGTTGTGACAAAAGTGTTGGGGTTCTTGTCGGGATCTTGAAGGTTAAGCCGAGAAAGGACATAATTGAGGCCTTGATACCATTTTGGGACCCAACACATAATGTATTCCACTTTGCTAATTTAGAGTTAACTCCTACACTAGAAGAGATAGCAGGCTACGCCGGTTTCGAGGGGAATCTTAGAAATCAATACCCGGTAGCACCGAGAACAGTAACCCCTCACAAATTTTTGGACCTGTTAAGCATCAGTCGGGACATCCGAGACGAAAATTTGGCCAAAGGATTCTGTACTTTCTACTTTTTGTACCGACGTTACGGGAATCCCCGTGGCTTTGAGATGCCAGATACCGGTCTTACTCACGCGGGAAACCAAAACAAGTGGGAAGCTCAGAGAGGATTAGATTTTATAATGGCATTCTTGGGTACTTTGATTTGCCCTAGAAAAGACGGGAACATAGAGTTGGGACTCGTGGAAATAGCCGACTTTATGATGAAAAAGGCAAATGGGACCATAATGCCGATGATTTTGGCAGAAATTTACCGAGCTCTGACCCTTTGTCGAGAAGGGGGAAAGTTCTTTGAAGGGTGCAACATGCTGTTACAATTATGGATGGAGGAACACATTTGCCACCGTCCCGGATACTTGAATTCTGGTATGACTGGCCTCGAGTGCATTGAACAACATGAAAAGCGGGTAGAAGGTTATGAGTTCCCGGATGGTACAGAAGCATGGCATGCCCACTTGAGATCCTTGACTGTAAACAAGATCGAATGGATGTTTGGTTGGCTCTCGGTTAGTGAAGTAATTTATATATCAGCTGAGGTATGTTTTTTGCTGTTGATGGGTCTTCGGAGTATCCAGCCTTATGCCCCGCACCAAGTTTTACGTCAGTTAGGCCGATATCAGACCATTCCACACGATGAGGATTTGATTCATTAGGTTATTGAGTTGGAACCAAAAGCTGTTTTTCCAGAAGAAAAAGTGCATCGGATTTGGCATCAGTGCAGATTCTTAAAGCCTAGAACTCAAGTACGAGATCTATCTAGAGGCGAGGTGGAGCCTAGTTACACTTCTTGGTATGGTAAAAGATCCCGAGTTCATCAAGAGCCCGAAAGGCCCATAAAGAGACCCCATGTCCAACAGTTCACTGACGAAGCACAGGTGCAATGGGACTGGTTGACCAAAGAAAACGGGTACAGGGCTACCATAAGCAAGTTGGAAAAACAATTCATGGAACTTCAGTTTGAGAATGGGTTGCAAGCCGCCGCAGATGAAGGCAAGAAGAAGAAGTTAACTCAGGAGAATGAAGCCCTCAAAGCTCAAATCCGGAAGTAGAAAATAGCTGCTAGAAACTCGTAACGAAGCCGAGCGGATGAAAGGCTTATAAGCAGTCTGAAAAAGAAAGCCCTTGAGTGTCAAGATGACCTGGAAGAGTCTGAGGCCAATTTGGCAAGAGTCTGAGCACAATGGGCAAAGAAGGCAGAAGAGCGGGCACAGTTTGTGCAAAAAATGAAAAGAAAGTATGAAGGGACAATCACCAACCTGAAGAGAAAAATGACTACCCTCGAGAATGAGGCAGCCAAGCAGGCCAAGGACTTTAAAGCTGATAGGGAACACTGTTATGATTTGATGGCTCGAATGGAGGAAGAAATGCAACAGTTGCAAAATCAACATCTCCATGACACCCAGGTGTTGGAAGCCCGGAATCAATAGGTCGGGCGTCTGCTTCAAGAAAAGGGTAAAATCCGAGAGAGGATCAGAACCATTGCCGACTACATTGTTGTGAAATGCCAAGCATGTGAGGATATGACTCGCACCACCTTCTTCGCGGCAGTGATGACATTTGTCCGGCAGATAATGAGTGACTTAGAGAGGCTTCAAAAGGGATCTCGCATATAGGCCTGTGGCGAGACCGAATGATGTCCCGCGGGCCCCAGGGGCATTTGAGGCATTAATGTATTCATGATTTTCATTGGAGTCTGTTAGTCTGTTTGCGAGTCTGTACTTTCTTTTGTTAGAGTCTGTTAGTTGGTTTTCGAGTCTGTTGTTTTCACCTTTCTGTCAGAGTCTGTTGGTTTTGTTTTGAGTCAGGGTCTGTTAATTTCCCTTATCGAGTCTATTAGTTTTTAGGACGAGTTGTTGTAATCAAAACTGTTTTATATTATGGAAAATTTTGAAAATCCCAAAATATGTTTGTCATTTACTTTTACATTTATTTCCCAGAACTATGCTTGGTCTGATTCATGCGGGGTCATGATACGTAGGCAATCTCAATAGGAATCGACTGTAACCAAATGAAAAAAAGGGAAGGGGAAAAGGAAAAGAGAAAGAAAATAAGAAACCATGAGAAGGAAACAATGGCAAAACAAGAAAGAGACATGAGAGAATAAAAACAAAGAGAGATCAAGCAAGGAAATGCAAGAATTAAAAAGAGAAAAAAAAGAGAGAAAAGAGAAGTTGCAAATGGAAATAAGGAAAAGCCGAGATGACGCAAGCAATCGATCAAATGCATAATAGAAACGGTTAACTGCTTAGGTGCATTCACTCCTCAAATGTGCGGTTGCCTATCTATTAAATCCCTAACAAGTTTGTTATTGATGAAATTCTAGTTCAGGCAGGTGGTTAGTTTTATTGGCATTTTGGCAACTCACTCCTACAACACCCGGGCCAAAAACAAGCTGAACATGGCCAACCAGGAACTTGAGGCAAGTATTGTCGATCTGTCAAAAGAGGTGAAGAAATCGGAGGTTAATCTGAAAGATGAGTTGTATAAGTTGATGCAGCAGATGGCTGAAATGTACCAAGCATGGGCAAAAGGGCACCCACCGCTAGTTTACCCTACCGACCCTACTTTTATTCCGCCATAGGCTCAGCCCCAAGAACTTCCCACTGTGAACTCATCTCCAGCCTTTCCCCTCTACCAACAATGCCACGATACCACTCCCCATACATCACAAGCTCCACCACCCAAACAAGTCCCGTACCCTCCTCCACCAGTCACTCCTGTTTTTGTGGCACCCCCACCTGCTGCATTACACCGATTCTCTAGTGAGCCTCTATTCCAGACTCACGACAACTAGTATTAC